ACCCCCTTGAGGGCAGGCCGGCACTCACAGTCCCAGTATAGACACTGTGTATGGGTGGACAGGGACCCCATTGAGGGCAGGCCGGCACTCACAATCATGGGTGGAGAGAACCCCCCTCGGTGGTGCCCTCTTGGCCACTCCCACCTGTGCCTCCAGAGAGGGTGAGGGCACCGTGGGTTTGGGGTGCTTGACCCCCGTGCTCTGGGTCAAGCAAGACCCAGAGCGGAGCAGGACCATGCCAGGTTCTAGGAGATCAAACTGCAAAGGCCATAAACCAGGAAGCCAGTCCTTGCTGGGGTTCAGGGGCAGGCACTGGGCCCAAAGGAGGGCCACTTCCTGCCACCCCTCCACGGAGCTCACCTGTGGCGCCTCCCCAGGAAGTGCTCTTGCCAGCCCAGGTAAACACATGCGCCCTGCCCCTCTGGGACCACGGCCTGGGGACCCAGACTCTTGGCCACACTCATTGCCTCCCTTGCCCAGGACCAGCAGCCGGAGCCTCGGGTCCCTGCATGGGCCTGGGGTGTCCTGTGCCCTTCACCTCCTCCTTGCCCAGTTCACTGCATGGCAGCCGGCTACCCGCGGTGTCCACTGCACCCTGGCCCTGTTCTGAGCGGTCAGCAGCTGAGGCGGAAGGGCCATCCTGGGAACCAGGTGGATGAGGACAGAACCAGACAGTCCCCCTGCTGCCGGCAGAGGGTGGGGCCTGGGCCTGATGAGGGGCCACGAAAGGACAGGGGCATCTGCAGAGGGCCACAGGTGTCCCCACGTCCCCGACACCCCTGTCCCTCAGTGCCCACGCTAGGCAGAAGTGGGGCCTGTAGGAGTGGGAGGGAGGCGCCATCCCACCCTGGGAGCTCCGGGCTCCAGGCCTGGGTCCTGCCTGGCCCACCCACCCACCGAAGCCTCTGCCGCAGCTTCCCAAGGCCTGAGGCGCCCACAGGGGATGAAGGGACTCTGCCCATCGCGCTGGCGTTGCCCCCCAAGGCCCGTGGGCAGTGTCTCCCCAGTCCCCTCCCCCAGCCCCGCCTGCCGGGGTGCAGCTGGGCCTTGCCCAAGGAAGATCCCCAGGCCTCGCCCGCCTGTCCCCAGGCCCGAGCTCAAGGGGCCCCCAGGGGGGTTTTGGGGAGGACGAGTTGGGCTGGGGCTGGAGCCCTGGGGGACACGGGCGGGCGGCGCTGGGTCCCAGGCGGCGGGGGCGCCCCCACGCCCTCCTCCCCCGCGAGCGCGCCTGCTCTCCGGTGACTCCGCAACCTGCCGCTCAGGTTCCTCCTCTCCCGGCCCCGCCCCGCCCCGGCCCGGCCCGGCCCCGCCGAGCGTCCCACCCGCCAGGGACACCGCGCGCCGCGGCCAGGTGCGAACAGACGGACGCCCGGGCGGGAGCGAGGGGACGGGCCGGAGCAGGTGAGCGCCGCGGACGCGGGGAGCACGCCCGCCCGGGCCTCAGTTTACCCGGGGGCCGTGGGACGTGGGGCTTCTGGTTCGGGACACCAGGCCGGGCGGCGTCGGAGGCCCGGGGCGGGGACGGGGATCTGGGGGGTTTGGGGGGGCTGGGGGTCTAGGGGGGCGTCCTGGCCGGGCCCTGCCTCCCCTGCACCCGCGGTCGGGCGGGTCCTGCTGCAGCCCGGCCTGCGCCGTCGGTCCTGGGTGCGGCCCGTGAGCCAGGGTATTTTTCGGCAGCAGTGGGTGACTCACCCGCCGTCTGCCCCTTCCCAGCTCTGGGGCTCGGTGGGGGCAATCCCTGCGTCCGGAGGGGACAGGGGGTAGCGAGGCTTCTCCCCCTTCCGGGCGGCAGGGCCCCCCCAGAGCCTGACCGTGGAGGTGAGCCCCAAAAGCCCGTTCCCGCTGGGCCGCAGTCAGGACGCGCTTCCCGGGTATCGCAGCCCGGAAGGAAGTCAGAGGCCAGGGAGGCACCAGCTGGGTCCGCCTCCAGGTCAGGGTCAGGGTGGGAGTTTCAGGGAGTGGGGGGGGCTGGGACGGGGGCCGCAGGGGCCCTGCCAGGTGAGGCAGGAAGGGGGCTGGCAGGAGCCTGTGGGGCTGCAAACTTCCGCCATCCCAGGCTCCCGGTTCCTGGGCCCAGCTGCCTGGTGTCGCCCCTTGGTGTGGGGTCTCCCTGGTGGCAGAGGAGGGGGAGGCAGGACCAGGCCTACTCGGACCTTCGTCCCCACCCACCCCGTGCCCAGTCCCCCCGGTCGGCTGTGCTGGGCAGCAGGCCCAGCTGGCGGCGGCCCCTCCCCTCCCGGCTCATCCTGGGTCCCACCCTGTGCCTAGCCTCTCTGGGGCCTGCTTAGCACCCAGGCCTTGGCACGGCGCTCCCACCGGGCCTTCTCCACCTGCCTGCGCCTCCCTCTCCACCCTCAGCTTCCCAGCTTATCCCTTCCTCCTCAAACCATAGCTTCCCAACCAGGTCATGGCCAGGGCATAAGGGGCACCCCATTCCAGGTCCCACGCCGTGCCCTGAAGGCAGCCTGGAGCCCCTGTGACTCCGCTGACCCCTCTCCAAGGTCACTCAGCATGTGGAGCTGGAATTTGAACTTGGAGCCCATCCCTCCACCCTCCTGTCCTTGCTAGGGCCTCCTCATCTCCACTGCCCTACTGACCAGGCCCCTGCTCTGCCCCGCTTCCCGGCAGGAAAATGACAGCAGTAAAACCAAAGTGCAGCCTGGGCCTCCAGGGCTCCGCCCCCACCCCTAGTGAGCGGGGGCGGGGCTCCCACGGGCCCCAGGTGCCTCAGACCCAGACACCACACCTGGGCCCACCGTGCTGCTGCCAGGCCGTGGCGGGGTCCGAGGTCCGCCACACCCCGCAGGCAGCCGCTGGCCAGCAGCTTCCCAGCCTGACCTTCCCCGGGGGGCTGCATGTCGGCCCTGCCTTCGTGTTTGTTGCCCGCAGGCCTGAGTCTGCGAGGGAGTGTGGGTGTCCTGGCAGGTGTGTGCCTGGACACACGTGCCTGGCACCCTTGGTGGAGCCCAGCAGGAATCCCATTAAGCAAACACTCAGGCCTGACGCTGAGCCCGTGAACATTCCGGACATTCTCCATGCATAGGTGGACGGAGGAAGTGGCCAAGCCCTCTTGGCGAGCCCAGCCCCTCGTGGCTGTGGCAGTGCCCCAGGGGCCCCCCAGACCTCGCAGGAGCCCGCCTTCTAGGCCAGACCTGGTCAAACCAGAAAGTCCTGGGTGCTCCAGGCCACTCCCGTGACCATACCAGCAACACCGGCAGGTGGCCCCCACCCTGGCAGACCCAAACTCTGAAGCCACAGGGCGAGGCCCCGCTGGCCCTGGCAGGAGGCGGATGGCGTGGACCCGTGGGGAGCTGGCCGCAGAGCCAGAGGACAGCCAGGTCCACGCAGGTCACAGTCCTTGAGACACGTCAGCCTGGTTCAGGGCCATCAGGCTGTGCTGATCCCCCAGGGAAGGCCCCAGGGTCCAGCCCAAATCAGACCCACCTGCCTGCTCTGGCAGCTGGGACCTAGTTTCCCCAAAATGTGTCGGGGGAGAGGTCAGGGCTGGGAGCCCAGAGGCAGGCTCTAGGGATTCTGCCCCTGGGGAGGCCCCAGCCACCAGCTGCCCACCGCATAGCACCCTACCTCGTGGAGGGGCAGGGAATACCGTATGGTGGGGCAGCTGGACAGGGTTCCCAGTCTCAGCCCCACCCACACCAGCCCTCCAGCCCCTCCCCTGCGCTGGCCGCCTGATCACCTCCCTGCCCTCGGGGTGAGGAGACACCACACCCCGGGACCCTAGGCTTCCCTGTCCACACCGCCTTCCCTGCCACGCCTCCCAGTCCAGGAAGGAGCCAAGGGCCGGCCTCTTTGCTAGGGCCTGGACAGAGGTGGCATGCATGGGTGGCAAGTCCACAGTGCGTGGCCAGGGCTCCTTGGGGTGCAGGCCTGGGTGGGGCAAGATTGGCAGGCAGAGCTGGCTTCCTCTGGACTTCATGTCCACCCCCTGGCTCCAGCCTCACCTCTCCGGCCACCCTGCAGCTCCCACCTGCCCTCCCCACCTTCCCACCGCACCCCTCCCCTACCTGCCCCCACTCTCCCACCACACCCCCCCTGCTGCCCAGCACCAGGGCCTTGAACTCGATGCTCCGCTGCTCAGAAGGCGCCTTCCCCCCAGGGCCCTTGTCAGAGCCTCCCAGGTAGGCTCTGGGGGGTCCCTGTGGAGAGTCCAAGGTCTGGGGCACTACGAGGCTTAACGAGGGCCAACTGGGACTTGGGGCACGGGCTCTGCCCCCTGAGGAACCCCTGCCCAGCCCAGGCCAGTCGGGGCTCTGGCCCAGGGAAGGAGGAGTATGGAGGGCATCAGCCAGGCCAGGAGGAAGAGTCAGCAGAGAGCCCCTCTGTCCACCAGGTGTGCAAGCCTCAGACTCGGGCCACGCTGAGGGTGCCTTCCCCCGCTGGCTGCTGCCCAGGACGCCATGAGCCAGTCCGGGTCCATGAGCTGCTGCCCGGGTGCCACCAAGTGAGCCCCCCGCCCATCCCGAATATCCCAACCATCCCCCCAGGCAGTCCCCAGGGAGGGGTGCAGTTGGGCCCTGCCCTCACCAGCCCCTCCCCTGCAGCGGCAGCCTGGGCCGGTCCGACGGTATGGCCAAGATGAGCCCCAAGGACCTGTTTGGTGAGTGGGGGCTGAGCAGGGCAGGGTGTCACGGGGGAGAGACGGGCACTGCCTCTAGCCTGCCCCACAGCTGTGCCTGGCCCAGCACAGGGGATCCCTGGGGGCCCAGGGCGGCCTCTGGACCCTAATCAACCTTCGGAAAACTCCAGGCCACTGGATCCCCTCCCCCACCCCGTAAGGGGAGAGGCCTTTACTAATAATTCAGGGAGCATCAATATTGATTCCCCTGCACTCCCCGCTGCAACCGGATCGCAGGGGGGTTCAGGCAGAATGAGCCGCCAGGTGTCTGCCCCAGGAGGGGGGCCTGGCGAGTCCCACTTCCCCCCTCCACTCTGCCCTTCCCCAGGCCTGACCCTGCCCTCTCCCTAGCTAGATGCACCCCTCCATTTGTGTCTTTGGACACAGTGCCCAGTCTGGAAAGCGAGAAGACCTGGGAGGGCAGAGGGTGAAGCTGGCAGCTCTCAGGGTGGGAAGAAGCCTGGCCAGGGCCCCTCCTGTCCCCCCCAGGGAACAGGCTCCCAGTCCCCACTCTGAGCAAGCCCGTGAGCCTCGTCCTTCTCCAAGGGGGCTTCTCTGGAGGGAGGGAGGGGCCTTCCTGTAGGTCCTGTTTCACACCCCATCCTCCCACGGAGCAGCCCCCCTCAGCCTGACTCCACCTTCCCTTGTGGCCCCGCCTGGGGGTCCAGTCCGAGCTGGACGGGAGGCTGTGGGTCCTGCCTATGGGGTGATGACTGGCGTCTCCCCGTTCAGAGCAGAGGAAGAAGTATTCCAACTCCAACGTCATCATGCACGAGACCTCCCAGTACCACGTCCAGGTGAGGCCCCACCCCCACAGGGCACCCCCAGGACCTCGCTGTCCTCATGCTCCAGGGAGAGTGGTCACCCAGGTTCTGACACCCACAGGGGCTGGAGGAGGCCAGAACCAGCGGACACAGGGACCCCGCCCTGGGGGCTGAGGTAGCCCGGGGTGTGCAGAGGGAACACTGTGGGTTCTGGGCAGCCCTGGATGGGAAGAGCCAGTGGAGGAAATTATCGTCCTGGCCCCAAAACAAGGAACTGGATCCGGAGGGGCGGGTAGAACAAAGACGCCCTTGCTGGAGGCTGCACGGAGGCCGGTGGGCTCTCGGGGCTCGGACGGGGCTGCCTGCGAGCGGACCAGCCGCCAGCCCGACGGCTTCTGTTTTCTCCTCGATCCATTTCGGTCACACTCAGAACTCGGGAAATACGCTCTTTTGGGGGGTTGTTTCCTTTTCTTTCTTCCTTTTTGTTTGTTTTGAGATGGGGTCTTGCTCTGTCACCCAGGTGCCCAGGCTGGCGTGCGGGGGTGAGATCTTGGCTCACTACAGCCTCCTCCTCCCGGGCTCCAGTGATCCCCTTGATTCAGCCTCCCCAGTCGCGGGCCTACAGGCAGACACCACCATGTCTGTCTAATTATTTTATTTTTGTAGAGATAGAGTCTCTGTGTGTCACCCAGGCTGGTCTCGAGCTCCTGGGCTCAAGCAGTCCACCCACTGCTAGCCAGACCTGGTAGCCTGAGCTTGTAGTCCAGCCACTCGGGAGGCTGAGGCAGGAGGATTGCTTGAGCCCAAGACTTCAACCTAGAATTCCACCATGGCCCTCCAGCAGCCTGGGCAACAAAGTCTTAGGCCAGGCACGGTGGCTCACGCCTGTAATCCCAGCACTTTGGGAGGCTGAGGCGGGTGGATCACCTGAGGTCAGGAGTTTGAGACCAGCCTGGCCAACGCGGCAAAACCCCGTCTCTACTGAAAATACGAAATTAGCCAGGCATGGTGGCACATGCCTGTCATCCCAGCCACTCGAGAGGCTGAGGCAGGAGAATCACTTGAACCCAGGAGGCAGAAGTTGCAGTGAGCTGAGATCGTGCCACTGCACTCCTGCCTGGGCAACAGAGCCAGAGTCCATCTCAGAAAAAGAAAAGAAAAGGGGCTGAGCGCGGCTCAGGCCTGGAATCCCAGCGCTTTGGGAGGCCGAGGCAGGTGGATCAGCTGGGGTCAGGAGTTTGGGACCAGCCTGACCAACATGGTAAAATCCCGTCTCTACTAAAAATACAGAAATTAGCCAGGTGTGCTGGCAGGCACCTGCAATCCCAGCTACTCGGGAGGCTGAGGCAGGAGAATCACTAGAACCGGGGAGGCGGAGGTTGTGGTGAGCCGAGATCACACCACTGCACTCCAGCCTGGGGACAGGGCAAGACTCCGTCTCAAAAAAAAGAAAAAAAAGGCCCCGCTGTACCTGGATGCTCGCTGGGCTCCTGGCTGTGGTCCAAGCCCACAGGACCAGGAAAGGGAGAGAGGATGGGGGAGGCAGGAGCCAGGACCTCCCGCGGGGCCAGGCCTCTCTGCTGCAGGCAGCCCTGGCTGTGGCCCCAGTGTTCCCTGGTTCCCCTTTCTGTCCTCCACACCTGCAGAGGTGAGGCAGGTCACTGTTCTTTGAGCCTCAGTTTCTTCATCTGTGCAATGGGTCCAAAGAGCCATCACGAGTCCCTGAGCTTTTGAATCAGGCTGTTTTGGGTGAAGGCACAGAGTGGGGGCGAGTCTTCCTGGGCAGCCCACCCGCCTTTCTCAGGGACTTTGCCCTCCTGGGGAGGAGCCTGGAGCCTCCCAGCCTGGCTCCTGGACTTTGGCCCCTGCAAGCCTGGCCCAGCCCCCCACCAGCGGGAGCCTTTCCTGCCTGCCTGAGGGCAGCAGAGTGGGGAGTGGGTGGTGGGTGGGGTTTTCCTGCCCCTCTGCATGAGGACGCTGGGGCCCAGAGAGAGGGTGAGGGTGTGGTGGGAAGTCTCTCCAGCCAGGTGGGAGCAGATCAGACCTGCCCTGACAATGGGCTGGGGGAGGGCACCTGAGCTGGGTCTGTGGTTTGCTTTTTGCTAAATCATCACGCAGTAAAACCGACATGTATGTGGGGTGGGGTTCCGATACCACCACAGTCAGCCGTCAGCCCCACCGCGCCAAACCTGTGACTCCCCCACCTCGGTGGCCCCAGCCCAACCTCTGGAAACACCATCTGTCCTTCATCACCACCGTTGTGTGTGTGTGTGTGAGTGTGTTTGAGACAGAGTCTCGCTCTGTCACCCAGGCTGGAGTGCAGTGGTGTGATCTCGGCTCACCAAAACCTCCGAACTGTTCAAGCTCTCCTGCCTCAGCCTCCCGAGTAGCTGGGATTACAGGCACGAGCCACTGCGCCCGACGAGGTTTTGTATCTTAGTAGAGATGGGGTTTCACCATGTTGCCAAGCATGGTCTCGAACTCCTGACCTCAAGTGATCTGCTGGCCCCGGCCTCCCAAAGTGCTGGGATGACAGGCATTCATCACTGTGCCCGGCCTCCATCACTGTCTTTCGAAAATCAGAAATTAATTTTGATGAAGTCCATCCGAATGTGTTTTTTTTTGCAGTTTAGGGTTATTGATCTCCTAAGAAGTCCTTCCACTGGGCGCGGTGGTGCGTGCATGTAGTCCCAGCTAATCGGGAGACTGAGGCTGGAGGATCCCTTGAGCCCAGGAGTTCTGGGCTGTAGTGCGCTATGCTGATCAGGTGTCCACACTAAGTTTGGCATCAATATGGGGACCTCCCGGGAGCCGGGGACCACCAGGTCGCCTAAGGAGGGGTGAACCCACCCAGGTTGGAAACGGAGCAGGTCAAAACTCCCGTGCTGATCAGTCGTGGGATCGCGCCTGTGAATAGCCACTGCACTCCAGCCTGGGCAACATAGTGAGACCCCATCTC